ACATTTTCTAGTTAAAGAATGTGTCAGATATACCTTGCCAGAGTGGTAAAATACTGCATCGACTGAAGTCTATGGTAGGGTGACCACCTTTTAAAAATGGAAAGGCAGGACACAGCATGAGGCTCTCAAGGGGAGGGCAGCAGGGTAGAGAGCCCCGAGCCCACAGTGGGCTGCCTACATCCATCCCACACACAAATCTGGGGGGGACACATGCCCCCCCATACCTTCCCCCCAGGAGTGCAAGCCCTCCCATGACCCACCTCCACCCCTTGGATGAGCTGCCCTTGGCTCCGTTCTGCTCCCCACCCCGGCCCCAGGCCACATGCACTGTCCTGGCTGGACAGTACCCCAAGCCTCTGCCCCACTCCCTCCCTCACTGTGCGGGCCTCAATCTACCCTTCTCACCTACCTATGCCCCCTATTCCCGCATAGACTTACCTGCAGGGAGCTGCTTTCTATGCTGCCTGGCTGTATTTCCAGCTATGTGCATGTTTGTGGGTGCACGTATGCACATGGCACCCTCTGCATCATAACCCCGGCAGCCTCAAACACACCCTTGAAGGTTGGAATGTTGCCAGCCTGCAAGGGAAAACCCGACTCCTGTGGAAAATGGAAAACCCAGATCCCTGCACAATACTGTGTATCTGAGACAAACGCTATCCTGGAGTCATGCAGCCAGGGACCAGGACTTGATGTTCCCATTCTGGGGCTGTCCTGCCTCATTAGGATCTGTGCTCACCCTACTCTATAGGTTCCTCAGTTGTACCTTCTCAAGCATACCAATCTACCAGCTCCTGGGGTTTCATAGATTTCATAGACATTAGGGTTGGAAGGGACCTCATAAGATAATCGGGTCCAGCCCACTGCCCAAGGGGCAGGAAGTCAGCTAGAGTCAAAGAATCCCAGCAAGACAAGCATGCAAATGTTTCTTAAAAGAGTCCAGAGTAGGTGCTTGCACCACCTCTGGGGGGAGTCTGTTCCAGGCCTTGGAAGCTCAAAAAGTAAAGAAGTTTTTCCTTATGTCCAGCCTAAAATGGTCTTGCAGGAGGTTGAGACGGTTGGACCTTGTCATCCCTTAGGGTGCTCTGGTGAACAAGAATTCCCCCAGGTCCTGATGCACGCCCCTTATACACTTACAGGCTGCCACTAAGTCACCCCTGAGCCTGCACTTCTCCAGGCTGAAGAGTCCCATAGCTTGCAGCCTTTCTTCATAAAGCCTGTTCTCTTGCCCTCTGATCACAAGCGTGGCTCTCCTCTGGATTCTTGCAAGCTTGTCCAAGTTCTTCCTGAATTGTGGAGCCCAGAACTGGATGCAGTACTCCAGCTGCGACCTCACCAAGGCCGAGTACAGAGGGAGGATGACATCCTGGGTCTTGCTCTAGATGCATCGGTAGATGCAAGCCAGAGCTTTGTTCGCTTTGCCAGCTTTGATATCACATCAGTGGCTCATGTTCATCTTGTTCACGACCCCCAAGTCTCTTTTGGCTATGGTGCTAGGGAGTGTAGCATTGCCGAGCCTATAATCTGATGTGGGGTTTTTTTTCCAAAGGTGGAGCACCTTGCATTTCTCCATATTGAACACCATTAGGTTTTCATCTGCCCAGCTTGCAAGCCTATCAAGGTCAATTTGGATCACCAGCCTATCCTCAAGTGTGGATACTCTTCCCCAAAGTTTGGGGTCATCAGTGAACTTAGCCAATCTGCTTCTGACACTAGTGTCCAGATCATTTATAAAGACATTAAAGAGTACAGGTCCGAGTATGGAGCATTGGGGGACACCACTGGTCACTGAGTGCCATGCTGATTCAGTTCCATCAACTACCACTCTCCGGGTCTGACCTCAGAGTCAGTTCCCCAGCTATTGGACTGTGGTGTAGTTAAGGCCACAGTTGCCCAATTTTTCCATGAGGACATCATGGGCCACCAAGTAAAACGCTTTTTTAAAATCCAAATATATGATATCAGCCTCTTCCCTTTTGTCCAGGTGATACATCATCTGGTCCTAGAAGGAAATGAGGTTGGTCAGGGAAGACCTACCTGCAACAAACTCATGCTGGCTGTCCCTCAGAATGTTGCCTTCTATTAGCCTTTCAAGAATGGTTTCTTTGATAATTTTTTCCAAGAACTTCCCAGGGATTGAGGTCAAACTGATTGGCCTGTAGTTCCTCCCCTTCTTGAAGATAGGGACCACACTGGCTCTCTTCCAACGTTCAGGTACTTCACCCAAGCACCACAAGTTCTCAAATATGCTTGCCAACGGCTGCTCTATGGTGTCTGCCAGTTCCTTTAGCACTCTTGGGTGCAATCTATCTAGAACAGATGATTTGTGGGGGTCCAGCCTCTCAAGATGTTCCCTCATAAGATCCACGCCAATGGCTTTGCCAGCTGTGAATATATTCAGCCTCACCCTGGTCATCCCATATCATGTTAGGCAGGGTAGTCCCTCTGAGCTCATGAAAAACAGATGCAAAGTAATCATTAAGCAGATTGGCTTTTTCCTGAGTGTCAGTAGGTAGTTAGCTGCCCCATCCAGTTTAGCAGGGGTCCAATGTTGCCCTTGTTTTTCTTTCAACTCCCCACATATCTGAAGGACTTTTTATTGTCCTTTATTTGTGTAGCCAACTGGAGTTCGGTTGCAGCCTTGGCGTTCCTAGTTCACTCCCTACAGGTGAGGACCACTACAGAATACTCCTCCCTAATGGTGTTTCCTGTCTTCCATCCTTTATAAGCCTCTCTTTTCAAACATAGGAAGTCCATGAGTTGAGCCAAGGTGGTTGTTGAGTCCTTTTACCACCTTTCCTATGAGTTGGGATGGACTTCCCTTGTGCTTCTAGGGTCGATTCCTTGAGGAACAACCACTCATCATGAACTCCCCTCCCTGCCTCCCAGGGCCTCAAGAACAAGGCTTCTGAGCTTATGGAAGTCAGCTTTCCTAAAGTTGAGGACTACTGCATTGCTGGCTAACTTCCCAGCTTTGCAATAGATGGTTAAAGTGATTATCTCATGGTCACCGTCTCCCAGATTCCCTTCAATTTTTAAATTGCTGATTAGATCATCCCCTCTGGTCAGTACCAGGTCCAGCAGCGCCTTACCTCTCGTCAGTCCATAAACTTCTTGAGACAGGTAGAGCTCATCCACACATGTGAGGAAGCTTTGAGACCAACTGTATTTGGCCAAGTCCTCTTCTATTTCCCGCCCCAGAAAAGTATCCCCCCACCACCTGCCTCTCAAGCCCCACCTTCCCCCTTTACCTTTGCTCTGGACTGGCAGGCTCCGTCCCTGCTGCAGCTGGAGGCAAGAAGCATGGCTCCAGTCTAGCAGTGGCATGAAGCCAGCACTGCTATTACAGCTGAACAGGAAGGTAGAGAGAGAGAGAAAGAAGTGGCATGCAGCGGGGAGACTGGGAGGGCATGCAGAGGCAAACAGAGGTAGTGGGCTGCGGGGAGGCAGTAGGCAGCAGCTGTGACTCCAGCTCCAGCCCAGCCACCATAGCAGCTGCCTGCCACACCCCACTGCCTTGTGCTTGATTGTAAGGCGAGGGGCCTTTCCCTCTGCCCCCATGTTAAATGGTAGGGGGGGGAACCTTGTCTTCTAATGGAGCAAATATGGCACATGCCATGCAGAGGATTTAACCTGGGAATATTCTGAGGAGCTCTAAGGGCTGGCCAAATAGCAATTAAAGTATTCAGTTCGTTTCATCTTTTTCTCTTCCTGAACTATCCATGAAAGGACTGCAATTTGTTTGAAGACTAAATATTTGTGCAGATATTGAAGTTTGATGTGAATGCACAACTTTGAACTTTTTTGCTGTAATACTTCAAGTATTCAGTATTTGTCATTCACTTCCAACTACTTTGATCAGACAGATCACTTAAAACCAGAATTCAAAGATACTGAGTACCTGCAGTTTGATAGTTCCTCTGGATTCTCAAAACTTTAGAAAGGCCTTAGGCCTTAGAAAACTAGAAAATTAGTTCTTTTGTAGGATAGCATAACTCCTAAAGCAGGCTATCAGCATGGACTCTCGTGATTATAAAATCAAAATTCTCTTTCCGTACATTTTATGCAATGTTTGATTAAGTTTGTGTTTAAATCTGCATTCTTATTTTAAGTGTGTCTACATTAAACACACAAATCCTAAAAAGGGCTGTATATAAACATTGTTCACATTGTTGATCTAATATCTGTGGATTTTTTTGGCATCACTTGGCTCTAATAAAATGCATTCACAGTGTGTCGATGTGATAAATCATCCTCTGACAAACTCTTCATCTTCACAACAGCTGGCAATAACTGCTGTTCCCAACCTCAAACAGAGCCTCCAAAATAGAAAACCAAGCAGTGGCAAACTGCCTGCACATATCTCCTTGAGAACTTATAGCCTTGCCTTGTCCTAACACCTTGCCTCAGCTCTGGTCACCTCTCTTGCTCCTGATTTCTGTCTGGCTCCTGATCTCTAGTTTGTTCCTGAGTATGACTTAGGTTTTACACCTATCTTCCCAACTCCAGTCCCTGCATCTAACAGCTCTCAGCTTCCTGATTTTGAATCCTCCCTCTGTCTTGGCTTCTGGTTCTCTGGATTTTGTTCTGGCCCTTCCTCTCCCTGACTCTTAACCTGATTTTCTGACTCCCAGATGTTAACCTTCTGACATGTGACACAGCTCTAACCACTGGGCTGAGAGCAAATCCTGGTCCCAGAGTTTATTCACCGTTTTTGTCAGCAGCTACCAAATATCAGGTGCTCTGAAATAGTCTTATGCCAGCTGATGCTGGACACTGCCTCCTTAAACTTTTAATTATTTGTTACAAACCTCAAAGCATTTGGACTGGAACAATGCTGGTTTGATGGTCAGCAGCTAGTCTTTACATTTGAAAATAACTAGCACCATGCACAAAATATGCCATGCCACCAACATAAGCCAATAAAGCACGTAATGAGAGACTGCAGTATTTGAACAATAACATTTTCTGTCAAGTATAATAGGAAAAGGAATACTTACTGCTGGAAGAACAAGTATCCCAAAGGAACCTATATTTAAAAAGAAAAAGAAAAATTAAATTCTGAACTTCCTCTTCAGCAATAACTAACTAAAAATTCATATACAGCCATGCATTCCTGAAGCTTTCTGCCACATTCTTACCAACATGAGTGGCCAGGGGTGGATCCAAGGGGGCGGCAGGCATACTAGTACACTTGGACCCCCTTTTATTCTTGGTCCAACCAAAGTTTAAGCCCAACTACCTTGCAGTGGCAGCACCACTTCAGGTCAGGCAGTGCTGACAGAGTCAACTGACTTCATGGCTCATTTTAATCTACCTGATCCCTTCTACCACCCTTTATTACACAGGTGTTAACAACCCTCTCTTCTTTTTAATGATATTGATGTCCCCTGAAGCTATCCTTTGTTCTGAAATTCCTTCTGTTAGCTGTTCCTGGTAATGAAGCTCCTATTTCACAGACCTTCAGATTGTTTTTGCTTTCATCTTAAACTTAATAATACAGCCCTAGTTCCCTAGCACATTAGTAAATCTTCTGGTTTATTTTTTACTAGATAAAACTGTGTGTTATTTTATATGTGATGATGCACCTCACCATCTGCACCTCCCTTTTCAAAATTTTACATTCACCTCTGTGAGTGGTATTCCAGGCTTGGTTGGAGATGTACCAGAACTTGGAAATTTGTGATAAAGCAGCTTCAGGCACTTATAGGTCCTAGGATTAAACAAAGGTGGCATCATGTTCCATCTCTACTCCCTAACATTACTCTAACATATCAGGGGATCTGATCCCATATTCTTTCTTCCACCTACTTACTCCTTTATTTAAGTCTCAGTGCCCATGAAAGAACAGAACAACAGCAATTGGTAAAAGCAAGGCACAGTGTGAAAACACTGTGCAAACTGACTTGTAATAGTTCTGTGAATCCATTTCAGTGACTTTTTTGAACATGACATTTGAAATGTAATGAGAACAATACTTCCTAAGACTGTTAAAATAGGGATAATATCCTATAAAGTCATTCAGAACAGCTACTTACAAAGATACCAAATGCCTTCTTTATCCTCCAAACCTAACCTCAACAGCAAACTCTTGCAGCAAAGCTATAAAGTCACTCTCTTTCCTAGTAATAGCTCTCTTTTCCTGTGCATAACATCTGTGCAAATTAATCTGAAGGCTCTTCAAGGAAGGGACTTGCTATTTTCACGCTCTTTGACCAAAACAAACATTTTAAGCGAGGGGTA